ATGTTTTTATTCAGGATGGCACCTCATATTGAATATTCCCCTACTGACAGAGGCTGACAACGATCAGACAATGATGGATATGGCAAGACTCCTATTATGCTGCAGATAAGCAAATGCACAGACTATCAAAAGTGATGAATTGCACGCCTTAAGACATTCTGGTGAATGAGCCCCCGACAAAGTTATGTGTGCAAGGTAATATTATGACTTTGACCTTTTTATTTCCCATATGTTCTGTAGGAAACAACTGAAGTTAGATCCAGTAGTAGAGTAGAGGAGTGCAGGGAGACTAAACCAATTTGAGGGAAATAGAGTTAGGATTGTCATAGATGATGGATTGTCATAGTTGATACATGCAGTCTGTGTACAAATGTCATTGTTTATCTGTCAGAAGGAATTGTGTGTAAAAGATCCAGAATCCTTTTGTTTTCCAGTGAGTCTCTGCAGCTTGAAATTGTTTTACTATGAATGCTAATACAACTTCCAAATTTGATTTATTTATTTTTATTTGAAACCCTGAGCTGCTGCTCATGTTTTTCCTCCTGCATCTGCTCGCTTCCCGTTGCTACATACAGTGCAAAGGTTTCTCTTTCCCACAACTTCACTAAGTTTCCTTGTATCCAGGCTATTTGCGCAATTTGGAGCTGTGTGTGCTTCCTCCTAACTGGAAGGAGACGTCTCCTTTCTGCAACGTGTCTGATCATGGCATTGTAGCTTGGTGAGATCATTTTGATTGCAACCAGTTTTGTGTAGCAACCAAAGTGCCAAAAACCTTACGGTATTTTAAGTTATATATGGGCTTCTCTCAGTTCATTTTATACTGAAGAGGTTGCAGGATTGACCTCTGTCAATTCACCTGAAGATTTAATCTTAAAATTAGCAGTCTTTTGTTCTAAAAGGCAAATGAGGGCTGGTGGATCACAGTGTGGTATTTGTTGTAGAGTGGGACAATTGGATTTTGTAGCCATGTGAGTAGAGAATAACATGATCCTATTCGCTTTGCAGTCATTCACTCTGCAAATTCTCAAAGATGACGCAAGCCACATGTCACGGTTACTGTACATTTACACTGCAATTATAAACCACAACGGCCTTACCATTGAAGCTTTGTGCAATCTTAAGATGTTCTGGGTAACGTTATTCTCAACGTGCCTCTGGAGACCTTCTCAAAACTGTGCTAGATTTCTTTGTTCTTGTTGATTGGTGTTGTCAGATAGTTGTGAGAACTGGACTGAAAATAAACATGAAATGTGACTGAAAATAAAATTTAAGCTAAAAAGAAATATTTTGATCTCTAAATATGGTCGGACGTTGAGGTCTTTGGACCTGCCAAGCGTGACTGTTTTTATGGCTAAACAAAAACCAAGATTTGCTGAACTGTTAATAAAAAAAAGAAAAGAAAAAAAAGATGCCCATACATTTCTGGTGTTTGGAGGGTTTGTTTGCAGCCTCCTAGTGTTGTCTAAAGGATTTAGTCAAACATTTATTCAGCTCATTTCAGATTCCTACTGTGTTCTCTTAAAGCTCAGAAACCTTTAAACTCAATGCGTTCCAGCTGTGTGGGTCCTGAGTTTGGTATTAGGATGCTCAACAGTTCATAAGGCGGGGGGCTTTTTGGATAAACAGGTTGTAAGAAGGAAGCTGTTGAGCCACAACGTTTCTTCTCTGACTTGTGGACAAGTAAGAATCATAAAACAAGAAACTGCTGAATTGATTTATGGTTGTAACTTTACAAAATGTGAAACAGTATCAGTGGTCTTTATACTATAATTCTGCAAGGCAGAACACATGTCCAAACTACAAAAAAAAAAAAAAAAATAGTTTGATATGTGATTCAAATAAATTCAATTCTAGAATTATCTTGTCAACTAATCAGTGGTCTGGCTGAAAAATAGAACTTCTTCAGAGTTTTTCAGTCTAATAAAGAATATTCTCGGTAAATCAGCTCAGACTGGATTGGAAAGCAACTGAGCCAATATTCTAAATCCTCCATGAGTCATACATTCTGCAAATGAACGATGCAGTGAAATCAAGAGCGATCTAACATCCTGGTATTGTATAAGTGCAAGCAGCAATTTCACAAGCTTGCTTACACGCCACTTATCCATAAATCAAATTCTACAGCTTTTAAAATCACTTCCCCTTTGCTGTGTAATGAGCATTGGGGATGTTTGATAAATCACTCTCCAGTAAACCAAGGAGAAATGCCTGAAAAATCTGGATGAAAGGACAACAGCAGAATATCTTTAGGATCTGGGAGTTATGCAGAAAACCTTCACACGTGTGTGACGCTCTGTCCAATGATTAATGCCTGTTTTTCTCCATGGTGCGAACAAAAGGAATATGATTAATCAATAGTAACAGCAGGCAGAGATCATCAAGGATATGCATTCTCTGTGTTTTGCTTTGAAGGTAATTACAAGAAGACATAAACATAATAAGCAATCAAAGCTTTGCAAGAGAAAATGTCCTTTTTAAGCAGGAGGGAAATAACCTGAGTTGATCTCAGAACAGCTGTGTTGTTGATAAAAACACTATCTTAGCTGTTTGACTATAACTTACTCAATCACTGAACTCTCCAGACTTCCCCCTCAGTCCCCCATGATTATTTCACCAGTTTCATACATTTTGAAAAATGCTCAAGGGCAAGACAACTGTCTCACAATTTAAGAGTTGCAAAAAAAAAAAAAAAAAAAAAAAAAAAAAAAAACATTTTAAAAAATTTTCATCCAGATTCTGTCTCACATGTTTCTGACAGGTTCTGCATAAAACCTGAGTTTAGATAAAAACTCACCTTTCTACTCTGGGGAATGCTCACTGCAGATTTTCTTTGTATTTTATTTTATTTTAGAATTATGGATTTTTTTTTTCTTGTTTGTTTGTTTAGCCTTAGGGTTAATGTTTGTAATCATTACAAACAGTTTGATATAACAGTCTGCCCATCTGTGCATTTGTTTGTATTTTCTACAATTTCCATGAACACTAAATCATGTTGTACATATCCTCATTTGCATTTTATTGCACCAAAGAAATGGTGGACCTAAAGGCAAATAAACCAAGGAATCTGGATTAACAACATTTCTTATAGCTGAGTTTGTCTTTCCTTTTGGTGTCGCAGATTGCAGGAAGTCTACGATGAACCACAGCAAAAATCCTTAATGCTTAGAGGAACAACTGACATACAAACCCTTAGGAGTAGTTTTAAACTATTAAAGTGTGTTGATTGAACTTATCTAACAATCTTAGTGAAGTGTAGGTAAAGGAAAGAAGAGCAAGATTTCACAGATAGCAACACAGCAACTCTAACCTTGGCATATTAGACCAAGGTCACTTGTATCACTTTGTTATGGAGGTCATGAATAAACCAGACCTGCAAATGAACCATGAAGAGTTCTAGAGCACAAAAGACTCTTGAATTACGTCATCTTGAGTTCATTTGTCTGCCAAAGGAGCTGCAACACTGGCTATTGTTCATGTACAGGATCAGATATTTAGAGAATCAAATCCCTGCACGAGGCTGCACAGTGGCACAGTTGGTAGAGCTGTTGCCTTGCAGCAAGAAGGTCCTGGGTTTGATTCCCAGCCTGAGGTCTTTCTGCCTGAAGTCCATGTTCTCCCTGTGCACGCGTGAGTTCTCTCCAGGTACTCCAGCTTCCTCCCACAGCCCAAAAACATGAGTGTCAGGTTAATCTAAATTCTCCCTAGGTGTGAGTGTGTGTGTGCATGGTTGTTTGTCCGGTCTGTCTCTGTGTTGCCCTGCGACGGACTGGCGACCTGTCCAGGGTGACCCTGCCTCTTGCTGGAGATAGGCACCAGACCCCCTGCTGACCCCAACAGCAGGGGGTCAGCAGGATGGATAGAATCCCTCACTGTCTCACTGACAGCCCTCTACCACTGGATCCCAGATCCTTTGCAAGTGAAAGTATTAACCCCTTAACCCTCACGCTAAAAAAAAAACAATATGAAAACATAATGCACATTCCACTGTTTGTTGAGGTTATTATTTTTTTCTATTTTTTTTTTTTTAGCAAATAATGTCATTGGCATCTATAGTGGAAGCCGTGGCTGAATGGGTGAATGAGGAACTCTGGACTTGCTTCTCAAGACTTGTGGAAGTGAAATTATGCGATTCTGCTTAAGAGCATTTTTATGATCAAAGAGGCAGCTGTTGTCTAGTTTCTTCACCTCGAAAAGGGTGAAGCAGCTGTAAAGGATACAAACTGGCTTCCTTGACAACAAAATCACATTTCTCCCATTTGATCTCTTTAGCTGAAGCCTGTGAAGACAACTTCTATCTGTTTTGCTAAACTGATGAAAGTAATAGAGAACTACGCATTAAAGAATCTGAAGGATTCCTCTTACTAAACAAAGTATTCATGGTTATTTAAGCAGGCTTAGCATATCCACGCTAACCTGTCATGACTTGACTGACCTTTGCAATCTGTAATGTTTCTTTTCTTCCTCTAATCGTGTGGTAAAATAATATTTTAGCACAGTGTTTCATATACGGAAGGTGCTTACGCTTACATTTTTTTAACTGAAAGTCTGAACCGTATTTTAAAGGTATTTTCTGGTCATTTTTGTCTCCGAAGGGCACTGCGACCCTTTGCACAATTCAAGTGACAAAATGCAGTCATTACTGAGATAATTCCTTTTGTGAGCCTCACAGAGTACTTCCAGACCTCTTATCTGCCTGTTACAAACACAGCTGCTCCTGTTTTCTGGTGGTATTGCACATTCTTATCAGGTGAAACACTTAAGTACATAGATAGCAGCAGTAAGTGCATTCAACTGGGTGTTTGACTGGGTATTTTACCAGTATATCTGTTATTTAAATCTGGAAAAAATGTCAAATGAAAAAAAAAAAAAAAAAGTGCTGGATCCAAAATAGGAATATTCAAACACAGTGTGAACAAGTTATTTCAGGGTCAGGGTTAGGGTCGTGACCTTGAAAATGTCTCTTAAATCAAAAAATAATCCCACAACCAGGATGAACTCCATGCTTTTTGCTCTAAATTTATTTCCTTCATTTCAAGTGGAACAAAGCCAACATTTTTATCAATAATCATCCCTGTCAATATATTTCTGTTTGCAGTGAAAATGACATAATAAAATGACAACAGACTGATTAAGATGATACAAAAGCAGATTTCAAAACATGTACAGTTTTGTATTTACAGAACTGTCAGCCATATAAACACTTACACACACACACACACACACATGCACACGCGCACACACACAGTACATTTGAAGTTTCACAACAATATGCACTGGATATGCACTTATCTCGTATTTACAAGTTTGCCCCCCAAAAAAATCACACACACCAAATTCAATACAGAATGTTCACATTAAGCCCACATTAGAATATGTGTTGGTTCAATAACACCTTTTAATGTTTACTCATTATTTTTCACCGTAGCAAAAACAGAGCGGATCAACATGTACAGCTGCATGTGCAAATCTATTTATAGTAATTATCATTAATAAAGGGTAAATATAAGCAAATTCACACAATTACATTGAAGGCATCTTGAGACGCACGATGTGTTTACGGGAAGAGTTCAGTGCTGTTGTTCTTTTTTTTTGTTTCTTCTACTGGTTTTAATGAGACAGATTTTATATCCGTGTGTAAAATGTGACACAAGGGCAACTTGCTAACTGAGCCACTTTCAGTCCTTTACTGCTTACATCAAGTGATGCTGATCCTTGATTACATCAAGGAAGAGCAGACTGTGTTCAGAAATCCAAAGAAAAATATGCTAAAAAAAAAATATACCCCTAAACTGTAGATGTGACTACAAGAGCAAAACTAGAGTTTCCCACAGATTCCCATGCTAAAGGGTTCGGGTCCGTGACTTTTTGACCACAGTTTTTCCATTGCCCTCCCAGTTTTCTGTTTCACGATATCTTGCAGATGTTTTCTTTGGACTTCAAAGGTGCACTGTAGGAACTGAGAAGGGTGGTGTTTTTAAAAACAGCATTGGGTTGCAAATGGTGCAGATTACTCAGTTTTGTCAATTCATGACTTTTGGTCGCTGCTGTTGTATAAACACGGCTTGGCAGAAAAGTACAGTCTAGGTTAGTATTACACTGTTGTGTCACGTTAATAACTGTTTCTATTTCTGGGTTCTACTTTGTTAAAAAAGATAACAAACTAAGGATTTTTAAAGTTAGATTCTTCTAAAAGTTGTAAGCCATTATTACCTTACCAGATATTTTGCAGATTGATTTTGGAAGTAGAAGGCCACATCCAGTAGAAAGAGTCCAAGTTCAAATGTCATAAAATAACTTCAGTTTGAAAAACATCACAGTGGTTTAGGCAATTTTTTTTTTATTTTTTTTTTTTTGTGAACCTTCAAATCAATGATAAGTTTGCATTGGTATGTCCACAAAAGTTTTGCAGGATTTAGATGCAAGTGATGAAATTTAGCTTCTTGTGCTAAACGTTCTGAGAATGGAAGACATAAAACATTTGCTGTCAAACCACTTGCCTGATGCAGAAGTAAAACATTGCAAAACACAAGATGACTTTATCCAATTTAAGTGAAGCTTTTTTTTAAAATTAATTTTTATACTGCCTTGCTTCTCTCTGGTGTATTTATGCTTTATCTCCCAGAGATAATCTGCCCATTGTTGCCGCCTGCTTGTTCAGTAGGAGGGATTGCTGCAAAAATGAACAACTCTAAAGGAAACGGACAGAGACAGATAAAAGGGGGAAGCATGTGACAAAGATCTCAAGGTTGGGAACTGAACCTTGGACAGCTGCGCTGTGGAGCTCCAGTTCCTGCACATGGTGCACCTGCTCCGCCGCCTCGCCTCAGAACCCTCAGGACAAAAAAACCTTTGAACAGTTGGAATTATAAAGTGGATTAGACTCTCCTGTTTTACGTTTAGTATCAGATTGAACTGTGTATCTTTGAATCTAAACTGTGATATTCAGAAAAAAGTGTTTACAATGGAAGATAAAAAAAAAACAGTTAAACCTTTAGGACAGATTTTTTTTCTTCTTCTTTCTGGGTAAACTCTCCTGGATGCTCCATGTTGCATCATGAATGTGGGAACGACTTGAAGTCCACCCGGCGTGAGCCGAGAAGCATGACAAAAGCCTTAATGTGACAGGACTAGTCATCCCTGTCACTTTGCTTTGCTTTACAGCGTTCTCTGCTGCCTCGTCAGTTTCAGACTCCGGTGACAGTAAGTTTCGAATATAACAAGTCAGTGGACCTTCCCATAAATATTATACAAAATGGAGGTTTAGGAGTTCAAGCTTTTGTCAGTCCACTGGAGTGTGATCAAGGAGGCATCTTTGTGTAAGCGTTACTCTTCCGCGTTATAAATCCGAGCATTTACTCTGCCAGACAATGAACCGGAAACTGTTACATTAACAAGCCTGTACAGCAGTGTAAATCTGGAGGCTTTTGATCATCTATAATGCAATACTAGTAGCTAATTGAAGCATTTGCAGCCATAAATTAATCCACACTACACAAGGAGTGTAGCCACACGCTTTATGTACACTATTCACTTGTCTGTACAGCATTAAATTATCTTCCCGAGTAAATGTAAACATTCAATCACTGAGTCGTGTCAAGGTATTTTCTCTCCGAGGTTATTGTGCAGCCTGCAGAAAACAGAGATTGGGGTGAAAAGTGTTGCTTGATAGCACTGAAACCAGGCGCTTGTCAGTGTCTGAAATGATAAAAAATATATATATATATATTCTCTCAGTCAAGGGATCAGGAAACAAAGAGAGAACGCAACATAGATGGAAAAAAGAAAGCTATCAGTAAGGCTATCAGTCAGTGTGTAAGAGAGATAGTGTATAAAAACAAAAAGCATTTGCGATCCAAACCCCTCATGTAGTCACACACTGGTCTTCCTGCTTAAACTTTTGGCATTTGCGAGAATCCACCCATTAAAATGTTTCCAGCAAAAATACAGGAACCTCAGATCGTCACTGATGGCTTATCAACGTTCCGAAGAGTTCCTAAATTCCAATAAGTATTTTTTAATCAGTTTAAAATAACACCTAAAATGTATCTTACAGTGCAGTTCACATCTAGAGATACTTTTAATCGCATTATTATATGTTCTGTAACTATGTCTTGTGTCTCAGCACATAAAACAACAAGAGTTAAATAAATGATCAAAAATGTTCAACTCAAACATTTACCTATCAGCGTTTTCCTAAAAGTTAAATAATAAGTAAAAACACATTCAAAATTGCTAAAATGAGAAAATTTTTTTTTTTTTTTTTTTTTTTTTTTAACGAAACATGATCAGCAATAGATTTGCACAATTTATTACAAGTGCCGATGAGTGAGTGTGTAGTTTTTGTGCGCGAGTTTCCATGACAGGTTCTTGTCATGAAAGAATACGGCTGGCTTGTCTGCAGCTCCGGTTTTGTGACTCATATGGAGGACAAGTCGTCATGACAGGAGGACGAACCGCGCCGCGTTTTGGGACTGCAACGCGTCAACATGGTGATCTGGGTGCTGAAGTTGTTGCTGCTGTTCGACGGGTGCTGGTATTTGGTGTCTGAGCCCATGTATCTCTGCAGGTGCCACCTCCGCCACTTCCTCTTAATCTCCCCTTGGACCTGCAGCCGGGACAAGGAACCGTAGTCAAATTTTCACAGCTACCGATCTCAACTTTGTACTTGAAGGTGGGAGCACAAAGAAACAGTATAATTAAAAGAGGAAAATGTAACATTTTTCAAAGAATTATAGAATATTAAATACAGCAAAGGTTTTTAATATATATCTAAACAAACATGCATTAAATACAAGCTTTCTTATACTATTATACTTTGTTTTATAATATTACAAGAGGACTTGGATTTTTTTTTCAGATAATTGAAAATAAAAGAATTATGCACCACCACCACCAGTTGAAGTGTAAAAAAAAGACACTTAGTTATTTCAATTATTCTTGCTTTACCAAGGAAACAGTTATACTGCTTGTTTACAATTTGGACAATATTATTGTTGTGTTTTTTACCATTCGTGATTCATTGCTCAACTAAACTGCATTTCTTTTAAGCTTTACAGTGGGTGCGCCTAATGTTACGCTACTTGAATTCAGTTTTTAACAGTTTTTTTTTTTGCTCAAAACAACACATAAATACTTAAATTTTGTTCCTGAGTTTTGTCATTTAAAGACCTAATAACTACAAACCACCTTAAGGAGTGAAACTTTATAAAGGACTTGTGAAAATGTCCTCCAGTTATTATCATTCAGTGTAGAATCAAGTGATTTAATCTGGCTCAGCACTGAGGACATAATTCATCTCTCCACTGAGAGCCTCTGCACACGTCACTGCCTAGAGTGCCCGTTTTTTTTCTCTCTCTCTCTCTTTCTCCCGGCAGTGGAGGAAGACTCAGTGAGGAGAAGATGCCTGGAATGAGCAGTCTGAAATCTCCATCCACCTTACAGGACTGTGTGTGAATGTAAATAGGGAAACAACTGAAGGTCCTGTCCGCCTGGGAATTGTAGGCTTTAAAATGAGAGTTTATGTAAATGTTTCATGGACCTACCTCAGCATTGAGGAAGCAGTAAAGGACTGCGACCACAAAGCCCTAAGGAAAGAAAAACAGAGGTGTAAGAGTCATAACAGCGACAGTACTGGAACCTTGAATTTGCTTGTCCAGTTTCAAGGACCTAATTTTGGTTCTTCAAAGAGCTTTATATATATATATATATATGGTCCTCATGCATGTTTATATAAGTTCTCTAACAGTTATAGCATTTGAAATGGTTTGTTTAGATCTTTACAATGAGGAAAAAAAAATATTTATAAAACTAAATGGCAAAAATATAATCTGCATGTAACATTTTCTTCCCTATAATTTCAACCTTAAAGACATTCCGTACCTGAAACGAGCCCAAAATCAGGTCAAAGATGAGACGTAATTCAGTCTTCACTTGCTCTGGGATGAATGCAAACACTATAAAATTGATTCCAAACAGAGGAATCAGAAGCAGTGTTGATTTTGCAAGTCGCCTGAAATGACAAAGCAAAAGATTGAAATCCCCCCACCGACTTTTTCCATCGAAACCAATGATTAATCTGTCTTTATATATACAGCAATGACAATATTTCATCTCAGTAGACCAGAGACGGAGGGAAAAAGACCATTAAAATTGTCAGTGGGAAATAGCTCATGCATTATCGCTGGTATACGAGATGCTCTCCATCACAGAAAATTCACTTGAACACTGTGAGCGCTGCGTATGTGCAGCTATCAGTGGAAGCCTACAGTTTGCTTGGCAGCACATAAAAAGGGCAATTTTATGGAATTTCAAGGAGTTTTTATTTATTTATTTATTTATTTATTTTTTACTGAAACCCAAACGAATTATCGGCTGAAAATATGCAGCAACAGTTGGGGGGACAAATCTGTGTATTTTCCAACAAGCTCTTAAAAATAAGTATTTAAATGCATCCATATTTTAACCTTTAAT